ATTTATATAAGAATATATATTTATGGAAAATAAATATTATTTTAAATTTTTTTCTTTGAATTTAAAAACTGATTTGTACTTTATAATTTGAAACAAAAAGTCGATGAATTTGTTCAATTTAAATTCTATTTCACAAAATTTGCATGCTTTTTTTGTTTTATTTAATTACTAATGATTTCAAGAATTAGAATTTGCTTTGTAATCTAACAATTGCATTCGTAGAAAAATAGAAAGACTAGGCTTAGGCTTCAATATGAGCTCATATATTAGACTAGACCTAGGCCTTAATCTAAGCTTATATATTATCGGCCCAAACACTTCCGTTTCCAATAATGGTACTTTATCCTTTCAAGTGAAAAATTCTAATTTTTGAAATAATTAATAAATAAATAAATAAAAAATTCCTTCAAAATTATTAATTCTAATTCTTGAATTATTAATAAATAGATCAATAAATAAGTAAATCAAAATAAATAAATCAATAAAATTTCTTTCAATATAAATTATTCACAAGTAACAAGGCAAAATAATTTTTTACGATTTTTTGCGATAATAAAAAACAATTTCCAAATCCAATTATTTATTAAAACATGAATTATGAAGTTTAAGATGATCGAAAAAAGTTCCGAAGATGTTAAACCCTAAAATTTGGATGAATAATTAAATTAATTTATTGGATTTTTATTTTTGCAATTATTTCCTTTTATCTTTCTAATTAAATTAATTGAGGGAAATTAATTTATTGAATTTTTATTCTTGCAATTATGTCCTTTTATCTTCCATAATTTCTGATTTGTTTCTCAATTATCGGTTCATTCTCATTGATTAGTAAAAGACAAAAATTCAATTTGGATAACAATTTTCTTTGAAGTTTTGTTGCAATTTAATTTCTTAATTTTTTATTATTTATTCATATTTTGAATCATTCGAAAGACAATATGTTAAGAAATCATTCATGCCATGAATTTTAGGAATGTTTCGCTTTTTTAAAGGAATCCAATTTATTTTCAATAATGTCGCAGCCTGAAATTAAGCACTATTATATGTTTGATAGTAATAAGTTAAAATTACTATTAATAGAACTCAATTTATCTGAAAAATTTAATCAATGAAATCATAAAATTTTCTCCAATGTTTCTAATCACCTTATTATTTTAGGCTAATGCTGCAAAATGACAGTAGCAATTTTGATTAATAATTATGCAAATTATTGATTTGTATTTTATTTGATATTAATTATAAAAAATTTTGTGGATATATTGATAATATTTTTAATTGATTTCACTTCAAAATGTTTTATTCTTTCGAAATTACATAAAAGGATCTAATAGTATAAGTCTTTCATTATTCAAATTATTCAAATTCAAGCACATTTGTGTTATAGTAAATCTTTCAGTCTCTCATTATTCAAATACATTTATGATATAGTAAATCAGTCTTTCATTATTCAAATACATTTATGTTATAGTAAATCTTTCAGTCTTTAATTATTCAAATATTCATTCATACTATTGGTTGATATTTCAGGCTGTTTTTTCTCATCCATTTTCTTTTCAACAACCTTCTACAATATTTATCAAAGATTTAAAAAATATTTTGTCTGATTTTCTTGTCACTTTTTTCAGTTTTTGTTAATTAGCGGAAGCAAAGAAAGAGAGAGCATGTTTTCTTATATTTTTTAAATAATTTTCTATTTATATTAAATACATATTATTATATGCATGGATAAATTGCCTTTGATGGTTGCATGCACTTGCATATGTATCACTAAAATGCTTTTTAATTGTTCCGTGTACATGCACATGTACAAGATGAATAAATTAAACTGCTTTTGTTGGTTGTTGCATGGTTGCATGCGCATGCATATGTATTGTTAAAGTGTCTTATAATTATTTCATGCACAAACATATATGCACAAAATGAATAAACTACCATTAATTATTGCATTCTAATAATTATGCATATATGCGAAAATGTCAAATACCGCCTGCTGGTACTAATAAAAGAACTGTGGAATTAATTGGAAGAATCGAAAAAGTAAAATTAAGAAAATTGTATTCGGGAGACACAGAAAGGAAAAGGCTGTCATGAACACTAATCTATTCATTTCATTTTTATTCCTTTTTTCTCAAAACTTTTCCACACCTAACATTTCGGCTACCGGTTTCTATACATATATATATGCGCCCACTTATATATTGCCATTTTTCGGTCATTCTTATCTGTCACATTTCACTTCCATCAATCAGTTTATCTTCTTAATGCAATGATCATTTCTCCTTTACATTCTCATTTTTATTATTATTTTATTTTGCTTTATTTCACTTCCTCTCTCTCTCTCTCTCTCTCTCTTTAAATTATAATTTGCGTAAATTTTTGAACATTTTATAAATAATTCTTTCGTTCTGAAAATTTGTAAATAATTTCTTAATAATTTTAATTTGCAAATAATTTCTTAATAATTTTTATTTTTAGATAATATCTTAATAATTTTAATTTGCAAATAATTTTTTGTTCTTTTTCTTTTCATAAGTAAAATTAATTTTATTCGTTAATACCTTTAAATTATAATATATTATATTAAATTATATTATATTATATTGTATTATATTATATTATATTATATAAAATGATAGAATGATCAATCTTTTATTTTATTCCATTTCGAATGACTTTTTTTTACTAATTTTATTCGATATTTATTTAAAAATTTTCATATAATTTGAATAATTCCTTCCTTTCTATTGATATAATCTAGAATATTTTACATATTTGAAAAATAATTCGTTAATTTTGTTCTATTTATAAATGATTAATGTATGTTCATTTGAGAGAATTCATTTCTAAAGTATATGAATGATAAAACTGATAGCATAATTTTGATCAATTGATTCATTGATTTAGCTAGCGATTGATTATTGCTTAAGATTCAAATTGATAATGTATCATTATGGTAGCAAGAAAATGAGATCATTTATTTTAGGGATGAGTATACACAAATAAGAAAGCGAATATGTATATAATAAAATGAAATAATGATTAATTAACAGATTAATCATCTTCTGTTACAACAATAACTTAAATATTATCTTCCTGTCAATAAATGATCATATCATCAATCAATCTAATCAGCTTTTTTTTCAAATTTCTATGTTAATATTTGATAAACCTAAATAGATATTATTTAGTATTTCTTAAGTTTAATTTAACAACCAGAGAATACTAATTCAAATTTGCTAGGAAATCAAAATTAATATAGAAATTTGAAAAACAGGAATGAAAAATGATTTATTGCATTTTTAGAATTATCATAAACAAATTGAAAACCAATTGTATCAATTATTCTATACCTATACAATATATTACCTGATTACTTCATTTGTTAAGATTAATTAATAGATGAAATTTCATTTCTGTTTTGGAGAACTTTGATTTAATGCAATCGAATATTTGGTGAGGGTTAATTTCTCCGTTTAGAGGAAGTTTCTTATTGGACATAATAGAACAATTGTGAGTGATTTATCAATGATAGAATCAGTTGCAACATCAAGACATTTGGTGATACTCTTTTCTTTGTGGAAAGACATAAAGTTCAAATAGAAACAGTAAGGCACTTATTCCATTCTCTTCCCCAATAATACATGAATATAGAAAACGAGAAAGAGGGAGGGAGAGAGAGTAGGATAATTCAAAACAAATATAATCTGAAAAAACCTTATCAGTTCTCTTTTCCCAATACTACTTATCAGATACATAGGTATGCAAACAATAAAAAAGGAGGAGTTGTATAAAGGAAAACTAATTAAAATACGATCATTAAATATAAGATAATTTTCAGACCGAAAACATTAACATTTAAATTGGTTTTCAGTAATTTAACAATTAAAGATAAAATAATGATGTGAATGAGGGAAATGATTCATCACTTTCGAAACTCTAGCATTCATTAAAATTATAATTTATGCAATTAATTACTTAAATGAGAATTATTTCAGCAGGCCACTATTTTCATTATTTAGACATATGATTTCTCTAATATAACAATACCTTGATTTTAGATTTCATATTATCTTTTTGTTGTCGGAAACCCTAAATTAGTGTAGAAGCAGACAACATAAAGATAATTATGGGTTCAGCTATTACAGGTTTATTCGGAAATGCAACATTAAGCTGTCGGAAAAATAGTCAAAAAAAATGCTATTTTCGAAGAACAAAAATAAATTGAATAATTTATAATTAAAACTATATAAAAGCTAAATTTTGCATTTTAATAATTAGAATACAACCTTTCATCATTGTAGTAAAATACAATAAATAAATATCATTTTAGAATTAGGATGGAAATAGAAATAAATAATTTCATCTATTTGTTAGGTAAATTAATAATTGTTTAAAAGAAATCTTTGCCAACTTTGCTTGATCATCGTTCGAAAGCAGTCAAAATGCAATGAAATGCAAAAGAATTGATTTAAAGTTAGCTATTCGTTTTTTCTTATTTTATTCCTAAAATTTAAAATGAAATAACTGACAGTTTAGAATTGCAAAATAACCTAAATGTAATAGAATTAGAATAAATGATGAGAATGATTTTCATTCTATTACTTTTGCTGATGAAGGAGAAGATTTGCTAAAATTATGCCAAATTATGAATATTTCTAGAATTTCCCGAATATGAAGTAGAGAATTAAAGTGAGCTAAATTAAATTAAATCATTTGAGCTAATTTCAATTTCAATAAATTTCGATATCACAAATACCTGTTACTTAATGATCACATATTTTTGATTAATTTGATAAATTCTTTTCACTCTGCTTTGAACAGAAAACTGTTTTCATATTATTTGCTTACTTATTTACATATATATGTTGAATGAAGTTATATGATTAATACCTTTTGGTAATTAGTACGGAAAAATGTTAACTCCAATTAAATAAGTTAAATAAATATTGATGTTTTTTTGATACTTAAATTTAATTCCAGTTAATAAATAATAAACTAAAATGAATATATTGTTACTACTAGTGGTAAATTTCGTTTATATTTTTGCGCATGAAAAAGAGGCCAATATTAATTTGATACCAAACGATATTGTCTGCCCATTTTGCATTGAATTAATTAAAAAATTTCAACAAACCACTCTGCAGAACCCGGATTACAAAAAAGTTGGTTCATTTTTTTTTACTTTTCAATTTTAATTAAAAATTAATAAGTTCACTAAAGTTATATGCTTCTACACATATTACGTATCATATGGACATGCACTTCTTTTGCCAATTTTCTGATAGGAATTGTTTCTATGGGTAGAAAAATCATCCTAAACACACTTACGTACAAATTTGACGCACGTGATACATGCATATACGTATTTACAGATTGAATTTTGAGATTTTTTTTATAAAAAATTTACAAATTTAAAATTTTAATGCTTATTGTTTATGCATAACTTGATCAATAGTGCGATAGTGCGATACCAGTTTACCTATCTAACATGTCTATATACAGTAAATACTAATTTAAATTAATTTTATTAAAATTCTTTCGAAAATTTTTTTACCTGTCTGTTCCTTTAGGTTCTATGTCGATCAATTTCGGCAAACAGTCGTAAAAACTACCATTTTTGCATTGAATCATTCAATGAGACGACGGTGGAAAAATTAAAAACATTAAGTGCTGTGGATATATGTAAAAATCAGAAGCTTTGTCCAATTCACTATAAAGAAGGTAAAATTTAATTTTTTCAAAATACTTATGGCACCTTTATTAAATTCAACCTTTTTCTTCACCTTTTGATTTTTCAATTATCACTTAAATTTATTTTACCTTACTCAAAATATATACATAATACGGCGCTAAAGCAACGAAAAAATTGAAATATTATTTAAATTGAGAATCGATGAAAAAAACGACAGTAAAAACAAAACCACAACGTTTCTTAATTAAATTATTTTTCATTACCAGTTCAAGAAAAGGACATCATTCATTTATTTGGCATTAACAACATTCACATGGAGAATTTAAGACAAAATAGACCTTAAATTTTTTTAAAACTATTCCAGTACTTTTTCGTCTGTTATTTATTTCATTTACCTAAGATTCCTTAAAAGGTAAAAATGAGTGTATCATAGAAAAATAAAATATGTTTGAAAGGAAAAACAAAAAGCTATTAATATTAGAGCTGATAAAGTACACTCTATGGAACATTACTTGTACTACGAAAATATGAGGACCATTTTTTAAAACAACAGATATATGTTTTGAGGTCAAATAAAGGTCGAAGAAGAGAAAATCATGAGGGGTCATTTTATGGTAAGACAGCAGCTGACAATACTTGCGCTTCATCCTTATCCTCTCCGCCTTTCAATTAAACTGTAGCGATGTAATTGTAAATATAGCAGCTAATATCTGATCAGAGAAGGAATAATCGACAGGAACTGTGATTAATGATCATGGGTTGAAATATCTCCTGTCCACTCTTTCCTATCCATCATTTTTTCCTTTCATTCTTCTCTCCAAGCTATCTTTTCGCTTTTCCTTTTTCTCTCATTTGAAAATGATAAAGCTAAAAATTTGGGCAACGACTGATTGAAAAGTTAAAATATCTGTAATCGTTTTATTATTAAAATTAAATAGCAAAATGGTAGGAGAAAATTATATGAAATTTAATTTCTGATTTTAACATTTTATTTTCTCACACTTCTTTGCAATATTTACGGTAAACTTTCTTCTCTCCAACTATCTCTTCGAAACGAAAAAAATCGTTGCTGTTGATTTATTGACATTACTAACCATATCGGATATTTATTGATAATAATAATAATATAAGAAAGTTGAAAACAATCAAACAGTTAATTAAATCAAATATAATTTAGTTGTTTTGATAATTTGCAAAAATTTCGATTAGTAGTTTTAAATGATTGATTGATTTGGTGTTGTATAAATTAATGATTGGAAGCAATTTTCTCCAAACATTTCGGGCCTTAACGGACGAGCAATTAAAGCCTTAAGGAATTGCCTCGACAACAATAATTGACTTAATTTGAGCTTTTGCCCACAAATATTCAATGTTTGTTTATTGTAGTATTATTAGTGGCGAGTACCGACAAAATCGATCTTCCAACTATACCGGCTTTAACGGATGCGGAATTGAAGAATGCCAAAAAATATCATGTTCTCAAAACTGTTGGTGATATTTTGGCTGGAAATGGACAAACTTCAAATAGAATGAATTCGACACTTCATATTAATATGCAATTTCGAAAACCTCCTCAACCTGATGAAATGGCAATATCAGAAGACCAAACAACTAGTGGATTCAAATAGATTCTAATTAAGGTGTCCTGCACTTTCTATGTCTATACATCACTCGAATGGGAATATAGGAAATATGGGAATATCGCCTTAAATGCAAGGAAAATAAAAATAAAATAGAATTGCAAATTGAAAATTGTAATTTAATATCGAAATATTTCTTAAAATTATTAAAATTGAACTTTAAATTTAAAATTATAAAAATGTTGCTCTTTGCTCAAATGATAGTTATCAATTTAATTATCACTTGAAAACAATTCATAATTAAAATGCACATTTTCTTGCTATATATTAAGTCATATAAGAAGAGTTTTGAGATATTGTTGTAATTGATANAAAATAAAATAGAATTGCAAATTGAAAATTGTAATTTAATATCGAAATATTTCTTAAAATTATTAAAATTGAACTTTAAATTTAAAATTATAAAAATGTTGCTCTTTGCTCAAATGATAGTTATCAATTTAATTATCACTTGAAAACAATTCATAATTAAAATGCACATTTTCTTGCTATATATTAAGTCATATAAGAAGAGTTTTGAGATATTGTTGTAATTGATATGACCAATCAAATTTGACAAATATCAAAACTACCACAATTTTCTTGCTTTTTCTTGCGCCTTCCCATTTTTTGCTCTTTTTGGGTTTTTGGAATTCTCTGATTTTTTTAGGTCTAAAAATTTCATAACAGTTTATCGCTTTTCTTAGTGATTAAATTTAGTGATTACTTAAAACTGTAATTGCATCCAATGCTCCTTGTTCAATTGTTTGAATTCACTTTTGAATAAATTGTCATATTTGAATTCGTCAACCGATCAATAAAGCAATCGAAAATGGAATGATAGAAAACGGTAACAAAAAATTTAATTGCAATATTAAAAATTAATATTTTTAAATATATATTGACAGCCATTTTTTTGCTAATATTTTGTATAATTTTTTTGCAATTGCTGTAGATTTTCCTGTTGGTTTCTTTAACCGAAACGTCAATTAATTTTTGTCAAAATTTTTGCCTTCACAAGGTATACTTTAAAGTAGATCCGAAAATTATATACATAAATTAAATGTACCTGTTTGTCAAGATTAATTAATCTTTTAAAATCATAGTATTATTTTTTAATTTCTTTTTCTTCTCTTTCTAACAGCTTTAAATCGAAGTTTTCAGTAGTAATTTAAAACAGGAATTTATTTTAGCTCCAATCATCGATGAATAATAAAGTTTGAAACCAGAAGTTAGCGAGCAATATTGTGATCCTATAAGTAAAATCGACGGAAGTGTTGAAAATTTAAAATAACTAAAATTGGATATTTCTGTTTTATAAGACTAGTTGTAACCATATAAAATCCAAATAATAGATTAATTATTTTGCAAGCAAAAGGAAAGATTCGAAACAATGAAATTAAAAATTTTCAATGGAGTTAAAACAGAATTACGCGGGTCTAAATTCTAAGGGTTTGAAATAAGAGAATATAGAAACAGCAATTTCTGTTCATTTTGCAATTATCAGTTAAACAAATACCAAACGGTTACTATTATAATCTATTATGATGAATAAAAAACTCAACTTTTCATTCATTTCAATCTTGAATTACCGAGAGATTCGTCCACCATTATTAATCTAGGCAAGGATTTATCCAATATTGGTGGAGAGACTTGTCCGGTCCGAAATATTTCAATGACACATATCACATAGCAGATAGGAATTTCAAAAGTTATCTTTGCAATAATTTCTTGCAATAATTTGTAAAGATGCAACACTAAAGTTTTTTATGATTAAAATACTGAAGAGATGTTATGGCAGTTCTGTGCAAAATAAAACACTTAAGAAAGGACATAATTTGTTAATATCGCAGCATTATTTTATAAGTTTAATGGAGAAAGAACTATAACACGTTGGAAAATTTTACATAAATCTGTGACAGCAATCAGAATGAATTGAAAATGCTTGAAAAATATATCATATAATCGTATTCAATAAGGTATGAAGTCAAAATAAATATATATGTAAATAAAGTGATAGAAAGGTATGCAATAAATAAAAGAGCATAATCTGTCGTACATCACGCACCTAACGTTATCTTGCGTGTTCAGTTAAAATGGCTTTACGACGTGTGAGAAGTGCTCGTACTACTCGTCGCATTGGTAAATGGAATATGTTTCATCACACTACAATTTATTGCTCATACAGATTTTCAAACTAAAAAGGGAAATTATACCAGAGAGATGCATTCTTCAAAACAAATATTTCCAGTTCCAATCAAAATATCTGAAATTAAAAGAAATTTTGGCCATTACAATCTGAATAACTATTGATAAGTTTTAAGTCAATTAAATTAATCAATTACCAATCGTTTAATTACATAATCAAATTAGTTGGTTAATTATTTAAGCAAAAAAAAAAAATATCACTCTAAACAATAATTTTACTTATTGTTTTATCTCATTTGCATTTTGTTTAATTTGCATAATTGAAAACTGTTAAAAGTTAAAGTGAATTTTTATCATTCGATTTCTAACCGTGCAAATGATTGTTATAATTAATTGATAAATAATTTTTAACCTGTTAAAAATTTCATTCTTTGTTTTTTTCACAATTATATTTCTCATATTTTAATTTATAATTATTGCATTCATTGTATTTCCCATCTTCTTCTAGTTGATCTATTCCTGAGGAAGTTTCGAGATGTATTTTATACTATTCCTACAATTATTCTTCATTTTCATATCACTGTTATTTGTTATTAGTTTCTCGTCCTTTACCTGTAAACAGCTTTAATAGCGTTGAAAAATTCAAACTTATCATTACGACCAGTTCCTTATTTCTTAAATTGTTAACCATTAAATTCGTTATCATTTTATTCATCCATTTCTTGCGTAAATTATATCATTATAAATCATATATTAACATATTTGAATAATGATTTATATATTTCATTTCATTTCTTCATCAAATATTAAACGTAATGCAATTGTCATAATGTTGTGTGCGATGCAAAGTCTTTAAATCAGTGATTGTTAATTCATGATAATTGTTAATTATCAATTTATTCAAAAACGATTATCATTTTATTCATTAATTTTAACAAAAAATTTATCAATATTAAGAGATTTCCTAATTATGCCAAGCATTCTGACAACTCATAAATGAAAGAGTGATCTGTTGAAAATGTTCCAATTATGAATATTTCTTTTGGCAAAAAGAAATGAATTGAATATGAGCTTTCAATTAAATCGGTTAAATAAATATCGATGTTTTTTTTGATACTTAAATTTAATTTCAGTCAGTAAATAATAGATGAAAATGAATGTGTTATTACTAATAGTAGCAAATTTTGTCTATATTTATGCGCATGAAAAAGAGGCCGATATTGATTCAATGCCAAACGATATTGTCTGCCCGTTATGTATTGCATTAATTAAAAAATTTCAACAAACTACTCCGCAATACTTGGATTACAAAAAAGTTGGTTCTTTCATTCTTTTTTTTTACTTTTCAATTTTAATTAAAAATTAATAAGTTCACGTAAGTTATATACTTCAACACATATTATGTATCATATGTACATGCACTTCTTTTACCAATTTTCTGAATGAAATTGTTTCTATGGGTAGAAAAATCATCCTAAACACACTTACGTGCAAATTCGACGCACGTGATACATGCATAGACGTATTTACAGATTGAATTTTGAGATCTTTCTTTGTAAAAAATTTACAAATTTAAAATTTTAATGTTTATGCATAATATGCATAATCTGACCAGTAGCACGATACCAGTTTATCTATCTCTTAACATGTCCATATACAATACTTTAAATTAATTTTAACAAAATTCTTTCAAAATTTTTTTACCTGTCTGTTCCTTTAGGTTCTATGCCAATCAATATCGGCAAAAAATCGTAAAAGGTACCATTTTTGCATTGAATCATTCAATGAGACGACGGTGGAAGAATTGAAAAGTTTAAGTGCTGAGGATTTATGTAGAAACCAGAAACTTTGTCCAATTCACTATAAAGAAGGTAAAATTTCAACTTTTTAAAATATTTATGGTATTTTTGTTAAATTCAACCTTTTTCTTCACCTTTAGATTTTTCAATTATTACTTAATTTTATTTTACCTTACTCAAAATATATAGCATGATACGACGCTAAAGTAATAAATTGGGAATCGATAGGGTGATTCAATAAAGGCAGCAAAAACAATAGTACAATGTTTATTAAACTATTTGTCGCTTATCAATTCAATCTCAAATTAGATTGATAACATTTAAATGGAAAATTTCAAGACAAAATATATCCTAAGTTTTTTAAAAACTATTCTAGTAATTTTTCATCTGTTATTTATTTCACTTACCTAAGAAACATTCTTTAAAAGGTATAAAAATGGGTGTATCATAGAAAATAAAAACATAAAAGAAGTGTATGTTTAAAGGAAAAAGAAAAAGCCATTAATATTAGAACTAATAAAATACACTGTATGGACATCGCTTGTATTGCAATAATACGTAGATCATCTTTTTAAAACAATAGATGTATGTTTTGGCTCAAATAAGCAGAAAGGTCGAGGAAGAGATAATCATGAGGGGTCATTTAATGATAAGACAACAGCTGACAATATTCACCCTTATCTTCTCGCCTTTCAACAAAACTGTAGCAATGTATTTGTAAACATAGCAGCTAATGTAATCTGATTAGAGAGCGAATAATCGGCAGGAATTGTGACAAATGATTGTAGGTTAAAATATCTGTTGTCCATTTTTTCCGTCTATCATTTATCCTTTCTTTCTTCTTTTCAACTATCTTTCCACTTATCCTTTTTCTCTAATTTCAAATGGCTAAATTGGAATTTGGGCATTGATTGATTGAGAAGTTAAAATATCTGTAATCGTTTTATTACTAAAATTAAATAGATAATTGCCAAGAGAAATTCACACGCAAATTTAATTTATCATTTTCTGATTTTAACATTTATAAATAAGGAGAATGACGATAATTTGTTTTAAAAGAAAGTGAAGGCAAAGTAAACAAATAGTAATGTATACATAATCAGTATGCTATGTAAATGATTGTTTTACTGACATAATTTTCGTCAGTCAGATATCATACTTGATTCTACATAATAAAACAATGATTTATTATTAGTACTTCGATGATAGAAATTTAAAACTTTTATTTTCTCACACTTCTTTGCAATATTTACGGTAAACTTTAACCTTAAAACGAAATGAGAAAAAATTGTTGCATTTTAAAATATTTGTTGTTTTATTGACATTCCTAACCATATCGGATATTTACTGATAATAATATAAGAAAGTTGCAAACAATCATACAATTAACCTAAATCAAATACAATTTAGTTGTTTTGATAATTTGCAAAAAATTTCGATTAGTAGTTTTAAATGATTGATTGATTTGGTGTTGTATAAATTAATGATTGGAAGCAATTTTCTCTAAACATTTCGGACCTTAACGGACGAGCAATTAAAGCCTTAAGGAATTGCCTAGACAACAATATTTGACTTAATTTGAGCTTTTGCCCACAAATATGCAATGTTTGTTTATTGCAGTATTACTTATAGCGAATACCGACAAAACCGATTTTCCAACTATACCGGCTCTAACGGATACGGAATCGAAGAATGCCAAAAAATATGATATCCTCAAAACTATTGCTGATATTTTGGCTGGAAATGTAGGAACTTCAAATAGGAAGAATTTAACACTTCATATTAATATGCAATTTCGAAAATCTCAACCTGATGGAATGGCAGCATCAGAAAATCAAACAACTAGTGGATTGAAATAGAATCTAATTAAGGTATGTGTAAATGAAATGAAATGATATCCAAGAACTTCTTGTTGCATTTATCAGTGGCGTATTATTTCATCCTGCACTTTTTATGTGTATACATCACTTGAATGGGAATATTGGAAGACGCTGTAAAAGCAAGGAAAGTAAAATAAAATAGAATTGCAAATTGAAAATTGTAATTTAATATCGAAATATTTCTTAAAATTATTAAAATTGAACTTTAAATTTAAAATTATAAAAATGTTGCTCTTTGCTCAAATGATAGTTATCAATTTAATTATCACTTGAAAACAATTCATAATTAAAATGCACATTTTCTTGCTATATATTAAGTCATATAAGAAGAGTTTTGAGATATTGTTGTAATTGATATGACCAATCAAATTTGACAAATATCAAAACTACCACAATTTTCTTGCTTTTTCTTGCGCCTTCCCATTTTTTGCTCTTTTTGGGTTTTTGGAATTCTCTGATTTTTTTAGGTCTAAAAATTTCATAACAGTTTATCGCTTTTCTTAGTGATTAAATTTAGTGATTACTTAAAACTGTAATTGCATCCAATGCTCCTTGTTCAATTGTTTGAATTCACTTTTGAATAAATTGTCATATTTGAATTCGTCAACCGATCAATAAAGCAATCGAAAATGGAATGATAGAAAAAGGTAACAAAAAATTTAATTGCAATATTAAAAATTAATATTTTTAAATATATATTGACAGCCATTTTTTTGCTAATATTTTTTATAATTTTTTTGCAATTGCTGTAGATTTTCCTGTTGGTTTCTTTAACCGAAACGTCAATTAATTTTTGTCAAAATTTTTGCCTTCACAAGGTATACTTTAAAGTAGATCCGAAAATTATACAACATACCTTAAGTATACCTGCTTGTTAAGATTAATTATCTTACAAAATCATAGTATTTTTTTCTTTTTTCTTCTCATTCCAACAGCTTTAAATTGAAGTTTTTCAGTAGTAATTTAAAACAGGAATTCATTTTAATTCCAATCATCGTTGAACAATAAAATTCGAAACCATTTAGGAAGATAGCAAGCAATATTACGATCATATATACTAAATCGACGAAAATGTTGAAAATTTAAAACATAACCAAAATCGGATATTTCTGTTCCATACAATTAGTTGCAGCCACATAAAATCCTAATAATGGATTAATTATTTTGCAAGCAAAAAAAAGGTTTGAAATCAAAGAAATTAAAAACTATCAATGGAGTTAGTATAGAAGTTCACGGATCTTAATTCCAAGGGTCTGAGCAATGAGCAATAATAAAAACATTAATCGGCAATTTCTGAACATTTTGTGGAAAACAGTTAAGTATGTTCCAATTAAATATCACACAATGCAGAAACCATTTGTTACTATTATAGTCTATTATGATTGATAAACTCCTTAACTTTTCATTTACCTTTTTCCTGAATTATCCAGAGATTTGTCCAGCATTGATCTAGACCAGGATATATTCAACATTGGTGAAGATATGCACTTCTCCCATGAGATACCAAACAGGAATTTCTAAAGTTTTTTTACGATCAAAATACTGAAAAAAATGTTATGGCAATTCTGTGTAAATACTCACATTTAAGAAAAGACGTAATTTGTTTTTATTGGAGTAATACTTTATTAGTCTATTAGTAAAGAACTGCAACATTTTATAACTCGTAGAAAAACTTTATATAAAGTTATGACAATAATCAAAATGGGTTGAATATATTTGATAAGCGTATCATATTTGTCGTATTCAATAAGGTATCAAACATAAATGTGAGAGTATAATCTGTCGTTTATCACGTGGCTAACATCTAGCATTTTCATTTTGAAATAGCTTGCGACGTATGAGTAGAAGTGCTCGTACTACTCGTCGAATTGGCAGATGCAATATGTTGCAATATGTTCCTTCACACTACATTTTATCATTCTTATTGATTTTCAAAAATTTTCAAACAGAAAAGGGATAGGCATAACAGAGAGATGTATACTACAAAACAAATATTTCCAATTCTAATCAAAAATCTGAAATTAAAGGAAATTCTGACCTATAAATTTTAAATAATGAATCTTTTTACTTATCGCTAAAAGTAAAAATAAATTTTTATTGTCCGATTTTTAAGCTTGCAAATGAATATTATTATTATTTGATAAAAATTTTTATCTGTTTCAAAATTTCATTTTTTTAGTGTTTGCTATTAAATTTTTCACATTTTTTAAATTGCAATTATTGCATTCCTTGTATTACCCGTCATTCTTCTAGTTGATCTATTCCTGAGGAAGTTTCGAGATGTATTTTATACTATTCCTACAATTATTCTTCATTTTCATATCACTGTTACTTGTTATAAGTTTATCTTCTTTTATCTGTATATGATATAATTAATGTTTAGTGAGTACTTGAGATTGAGGCATGTAATTTTTTGCTTCAATTTCAGTTTATCTATACAAAAATGAGTTATTTCAAAAATTAATAGCATCTAATTATAGAACAGCTTTAATAGCATTGAAAAATTCAAACTTATCATTTCGACCAATTCCTTATTTCTTGCATCGTTTACCACTAGATTCGTTATCATTTTATTCATTCATTTCTTGCATAAATTATATCATTATGAATCATATATTATCATATTCGAATAATGATTTATATATTTCATTCCATTTCTTCATCAAATATTAAACGTAATGCAATTGTCATAATGTTGTGTGCGATGCAAAGTCTTTCTATTAGTGATTGTTAAATTTATGATAATTGTTAATTATCATTTGTTTACTTATTCAGAAACGATTATCATTTTATTCATTATTTTTAACAAATTCAGTGTAAGGTGGCATAATTCATTACAATATTATGGCATGTTGGATTGCAACATTATATGGTGGACCAAAACGATCAAATCAAGCAGCAGTAGCAATCGAACACAAGATTTATTGTTTTGGTGGTTGTCGTTGTATTCATGAAGAATCCAGCGATCAGATTATCGAAACCTTCGGTGTACACGTTTTGAATACCAGTTTGTTTAATAACAGCTTATTAAAAAAATTTTTTACATTCTTACGTAATTTTAAAATCGATTGATTTTTTTCCGACTTCGTCATATCTCATTGAATTATCAAATTTAATATCAAAAATCAATTCCCTTTAATATCAATAATCAATTCGAATAAATATTTACTTTCTTTTCTCTTTCGATCTTTCCATGCAATCATTTATTGCAATTATTATTGTAACTGCTATTAATCGCTTGAAGCTGCAATTTTTCCTTTTTTTCTCTTCTTTTTTTAAAAGAAGATTTAAAAATAAATTTTAAACTCATCACAAATTTCCAGTTGATTATCGTTGGAAACTTGTGGAAACTACGGCATTCCAACCAAATCTTTCCGAACAATTACTTGATGGATCAGGAAAACCGTATCAAGCATACGGTGAAATACCACCTCTACGAGTTGGCCATACGGTGGTAGTACATCAGGGAATGGTTTACATGTGGGGCGGTTGTTGTCCTGACACAAATATGATGTGCTCAAAAATGTATCGCTTTGATCCTGGTAGTTTTCCCCGCTTATGCATACAATTACTGTAAATACTATTTAAAATTTTCATTAAAAAATTTTATTCAAATTAAATTAAATTAGTGATTAATTGTATGATAGTATTAGAAAACAAACTTGTGATGATATAATTTAGATTTAAGATTTAATTATAATTAAGGTTTAATGATGATTAACTGTTAAGATTTATTTGTAAATGAATTGAGAAGAGTTGCTTATTAGTGATAATGAAAAAAAATATTATCAGTAGCACTGATAGAAATATAAAAAGAAAGGTTGAAATGAAATTTCGAATTCAATTTATCCTTTTACTACAGAACAACGAATTTGGTCTGTAATTCCCAGTGCTAGCGATACACCATCTCCACGTGCAAGGCATACTGCTGTTGTATATAATGATATGATGCTTGTTTATGGTGGCATAGAAAGTGATCGAACGAATGGTCGAACAATGTAATTAATTAATTAAAAATAATTGTGATATATTTAGAGGAAAGCTATGATAACCATATTTTCGTTCCTCTTTTAAAAAAAAGTTCTTTAAAAATCTAAAAAAGATAACAAAGTTTATCAAGCAGCATTTAATGATAACAAGCATTTAATGATAAAAAAACATTATCGCTGATTATTTATATGCTTAGTTTACGCAATGATGTTTGGGCATATTATTTTAAGACAAGAAAATG